GCCCCATCTAGGTCCCTTCATGACACGACCTTGTGCTGGGGAAACTGCATTGTTTTCGGAGCAGGGACCACTGCACCTGCACCTGGCAGTCTCCTTCCCTGCTCAGGACTGGAGCAGCTTCCACGCGGTGCTCAGTCAATCTCCATGTCTTAGTCTCTGCATCAGCTCAATAAAGATGAAATATAATTCCTAGGAATGCTATAAATTATAGTAAATCAAAGGTGGAAGCCTTTTTTCTTTCAAGTACCAATGAAAAGGTGTTTGGATAGGAAGTAAAAATCTTCTGCTCAGAAAAAATTTTGCTTGACTGCTTTTAAAATTAACATAGAATAATTTTTAAAAAACCTTAAACAAATATAAAAAACAAATGCAGTCAGATTTGGAAGCTTGCCCACCAATCAGATAACCTCCGAACAGCCCTTTCCTGTCAGCTGCTGTTGGCTGAGCTACTGGCTTACCTTGCTTTTTCTTCTGTCCCACAGAACCTTCTGGGCTGCTTCTGGGAAACAGGTGATGGTGACAACAAAACCAAGCCATAATGTTCACGATCAGCTCCACCCCAGTTCAATTTTATGTCTTGAACGCCCTGGCAATGAGGTGATGCCTATGGATCCTTCTTGGAATTGGTATCTTATAACCAAAGCCAATTACATTGAAATACAATTATCAACATGTCAAGCTGTCCTTGAGATAAGATAACATATGTGCTGCTAAGCGCTAGTGAGCAGGTTTAATTATTTATGTAATTTCTAAACCTTGACAAGCATAATTTTTTAAGGTATCTGCAACAAATGTTAATGTGATATGAAAAAAAACAATGGTTCTTACTTGTGTGAAAGACATAGCTGTTATTTCTGTTGTCTGTTGCCTGTATTCATAATTGAAGGAAATGCTAAATACTAGGAGGCTTGTGAAAATGAAAATATAATTTTATTCTTATCCAACTCTGCACTCTCTGAATTTTCTCTGCAGAACAAATACATAAAGCCAGCTGGAAGCACAGCGTCTCTGGAAGAAGCCAAGGGCCTGCACGGCCTGGCCTCTCATATTCTGTGGGTCTCATTTAGCCTGCTAAGACTATGCAAGAGCACACTCATGCCTACTGTCCCAACCCGAAACTATACCTACTGAATGAAGTCCTGAGCTTAAGTCCTTCCTATTGTGTATTCATTTTATATTTTTTATTGTCCTATTTTAGTTTTATCTGTTACAACCCAACAGTACTGAGCATACCTTCTTTCCTTAGCTTTTATATTTTGTTCATTTAACTTGTTTTAACCTTCTCTCTGAAAAACTTTTATTCTTGATTTATTTTCCCTTTAGATATATACAGTATTACTGGCTATTTCTGTTTTTGTCAACTTATGTAATTTCTGGTATTAATCACTTTAATCATTGTCAGTTCATATTGTTCTTTGGTATAGGGCATCCTTTCCCTTTCCTTGGTATTTCCAGTTTCTATTTTACAAACAGCAGGGCAGTTGAGCACAGAGTTGCTGGCTCTGAGGACAGGGCCCAGCCCACATCTGACTGTCTGGATGTTTGTTTTTCCTGCTGCTATCTCCCTCCATAAAGAATCCTTGGTTCCCTTTAATGTTGAAGCTCTCAGGACTTCCAGGGATTCAGATGTCCAGATTCTTTCCTGGGATGACAAGATGATGATAAATAGTATCACTCCTGCTGAAGCCTGGGACTGTTTATTTGTGCACCTGATATAATAGCAGAAGTTCAATCAGCTCTGTACCAGTTGCTCAAGGTTTTCAAATTTCTTTGGCTCTAACACTCTTCAAATAATTCACAGGGATATTTGATCATTAAAAGATGAAAAGGTGTAGCAGCTACTCACTGCTAGCATAGCCTGGTCTAGTCACCAGGAAAGAGTTCAGCCAATGCAAATGTCCTGCCATGGGCTCTTCTCTACATGAGGTACTGCCTGGGGATGAGAAATCCAAATGGCAGGGGAGCAAGAAGCATGAGTTGTCTAGGATGAAGAAATGACCACATTTCCTCACTCTAAATCAGTGATTTAAGTTCACTCTGGGATGTCTAAATTCATTCCATTCAGGGGTGTTAGGTATCACAGCTACTGGAGAATGTGAACTAAAGGACTAAAGGAAATATCAGAAACCATGAAAGTTAACAACCACTAAAGATATACCTAACCGTCGGGGTGGAGGTGTTACAGAGCAGTTCCTGGTATATTCAGGATTAATGTTCTTGATTTGAATTATTTGAGAGAAACTCCAAGAGTTCATAACATAACTTTTAATTTTTCTGAGGCATAAATATGTCTCATATATTCTTTTAGGCTGGGAAGCAGGAGTAAGACACTTAGCTGCTGAGTCAAACTAGCCAACCTCTGTTATTTACATTTTGAAGAGTTTCATACAAACACAACAGTACTTAGGAAGTCATAAAAAATGTTTCTTTCTTTAAAAAAAAGTCTAAGGAAAAAAGAGCCAATGTAATGGAAGAGAGAAGAACAGAACTAAAAGTGATGTTGTAAGAATATTAGTTCTGATTAAAGCAAAGATGAGATGTCAAATCAAACAGTGGCTCAGATTTATGATGCATAAGAGTCCTCTATATAATCTACATGGAAACAGGAAAGAGCAATTTTATGGTATTCAGGAAGATTCCAGACCACACAAACTGGATATCCTGTGAAGAATTAATCATGGAATGTCCTGAAAGAATACTTTGAGGTGTAAGTACTGAATAGTTTCTCTGGTGTGAGAAACTGAAAGTATAAATAAGGATTAAAATGTATAATAGATAATGTGAAATAGGAAGAAAAGGTCCAAAGGGGAAGGCGAAGTAGGAGGGGTAAGGGACAGGAAAGAAGGGAAAGCAATAAATATGAGAAAAGGAAATAAAGTCTTTGTAAATAGGGATGGGTGGAGGGGTTGAAGGGAGGGCAGGGGAATAGGGAGAAAATAAGCAAGATATATCATGTAATGGTACAAATTACCAATGACGAATATTATCATGTTGTATACCTAAAATGTACCAATAAACTTAATAAATAAAAAAATAAAAGAAGAATACTTTAAGGTATAAGGACATGGATAGTGGGTAACTTATTCATCACTATATGCCCAGAACCTTGAACAGGGCCTGGGCACAAAAGAGGTGATCAGTAAATACTGAATTCGAATCACTGAAGTCAATGATCTGTTACAGAAACACATATAAATTTGGGACAAATTTCTGCCAAGATTATGTATGGCACTGTGTCTCACAGGATGAAATTCTAGGCAATAGTTTCTATTTAGAAATTGGAACTATCTTCTGCATTTTGCCATGAACAAAACAAAACAAAAAAAATTAAGAGAGGAAGAGAGAGAGAGAGAGAGAGAGAGAGAGAGAGAGAGAGAGAGAGACACCAGATGCCAGCCAAATACACTCATCACCATGGACAAAAATAACCAATAAAGCAGCTCGCAGTTCCAAGGAGGCAGGCTCACTCTCATTGAAGGATGCGGGTGCGTTTAGCTTAACAAAAGGTAAGAGGATTGCAATTAGGATTTTAGTATCAGAATTTAAACTTAGGATATTGCTAAAGGCAATCTTAGATTGGAAAATAAATGTTTTTTAAGGGGTGGAATCTAGTCCATTGAGATTTATATTTAAACAGAAAACACCAAAAAGGTAGTAGAATAAGGGTGCTTCAGAAAAGAGCAGCTTCATTTCTATTTAGCAAAATCAAATAAAAATTGAATAAATTTTCACTGAAATAGAATACGCTTTTAAAAACGCACCTAAGGGCCCGAGATTTAGCTCAGTGGTTCCGCCACCTGCCTCGCAAGCACAAGGACCCAAGTTCGATCCCCAGTACCAAAACAAACAAACAAAAAATGAACCTAGATGCAAATAACTAGAATTTTTTTTTAAATCAAAACAAACTAAAATCAAATGGGAAATTCTAACTAAAAGCTTACTGGTAACATTTAAATTTCAATGGCTATATTTTTAGAATCCAGAAATTGGAATAAATCATAAATCATATTTTGCAAACAGGAATCGCAATAAAATTTTTGCTGTATTGTTCTGACAGATATTTAATAGGTAAAAAGCCACCTAAAAGGATGAATCATAATGTATTTGATCAGCCCTTTACTTAACGAGAATTAATCATTCCAGTCTTATGCTATTACACATAATGCAGTACTGGACATACATCTTCTTACATTTGGACAAGAATATTTATAGTTCACAATAAAACTGTTTGAAACTCTGAGAAAAAATGAAGTACTTAATTTGGTAATGTAAAAAACGTTCTAAAATACAGTTTTGGGTTTTGGAGCAGTTTGGATTTGAATAGTAAGATTAGGGATTCCTCAATCAGTAAAGTCTATCCAAATATTCTAAAATCTAAAAAAATCTGAAATCTGAAATATCTCTGGTCCCAGGCATTTCAGATGAAGGACAGTCAATCTGTGCATATGAATAAAATTTTTTCCTATCAAACTGGTAAAAATATCCAAGTGTGAAATAACCTGTGTGCTGGCAAAGCTGTAAAAAGAGGCCTCTCTCATACACTGCTGCTAAGAATGTAAACTGGTAAAACCTCATGGAAAGCAATTTGGAAAGTAATAGCTATGAAAATTATAAATGTATAGACTCAAGAGAATTATGTGCAAAATTATATACCTACAAGGATTTTGATAACAGCACTGGGTATATAATCTATATGATGCTGTTATAAAAAATAAGAAAGCCCTATACTGATAATGAGAGGTTGCTAAAATATAAACTTAAAAACAAAGATGTCAAACACTACATATAACATATCATATATACTGCCTTTTTTGTTAGAGAGGGGCATGGGGGCTGGTTATGTAGGTCAGAAGCAGAATGCATGCTTAGCACACACAGAGACCTGGGTTCAATCCCCAGCACCAAGAAAACCAAACCAAACAAAAACTAAACAAGCAAAACAAAAACTGTAAAAAGGGAGTGTGAAGAAAATACACAGCCAACTGGAATGGAAAACTTACTTGTAAAGGTAATACTCTGCATGGTCTATTTCTTCTCGAGATGAAATGTTGTCCACAAACTAAGAGATAAAAGAAATCATTGGGTTAAGTACAAGTTATGCCATGTATTTGGCCTAGTTCACACATACTGACGTTAAAATAGGACATCCATTTTCCTGGGATAATGTTCATGTAGTATGGCTCTGTCCTTGAAACTGCTTTATACTAATGCAAACAAAGTGGCTTCTCTTTTTCTATATGTACAGAAAATGTGAATTGAAAGCCAAATTTGAAACTTGCTCTGAAGAAGAGAGATCTCCTCCTACTGTATTTGTAACTAGTCATCACTTCTCAGGGTTGAGCCCTAATCTTTCCTCTATGCCCTAAGCTCCAAATACAAGGGAACACATGCTGAAAGGATAAAAACTCTAAAGGCTGAAAAAATATTGCCCAGCACACAGAAAGCTAAATTTAGGGAACTCAGCTTGTAACTACTTTTCCTACTCTGATTTAAGTTCTGCTGTGAACCAGTGAATGTACGATTTCTCTTCTAACAAAATCTCTCTTCAAAACACAGAATTTTTAAGTATACTCTGTAACTACAACCCAAATGAAAGAACAGAAAAAACTATTTCAAGAATGGACTCTACCCTTAAGTAGAGACTCTGAGGCAAAAAAAGAGATGGTGGTAACACATGTTGTGAGTACTATATCATTAAAACCTCATAGAGGGGAAAAAGAGAGTAAAAAGGAGACTTTTTAAAATAACTGGGACTTGTGGATTTGATTTAGAAATCCATTAAGGACAGATTTAGAATCCAAAATGCAGTGGAAACACAGACTCTGAGCTTGAGAAGCAGCTTTCCTGATAGCTTGCTGTGTGGCATAAACAGATGGTATAGCCCCTCTGGGACTCAGTCGCTCCATCTGCATAACCAAAAAAAAGGCTCTTGCCCCCAAGAGCACAAGGCTACAAGAAGAAATGGGAAAGCTCCGTAAACCTTGAAGTCCTACTTAAACAAATGTCAGGTGTGATCGTCCAGGGGTTTCACACATCATATGAGAGTTGAACTGTTGGTCTTTCAGTTCTCCTCCAATACGGCAATTATGAGCTCAAAAACTTCCAGTTCTCACCAGGTGAACTGGTTTGCTACTAAAAGAATAACAAATGACAAGAGAAAGGACCAGGACTAAAAAGAAAGATTATTTTTTTCCTTTCTCTCTTCTATATTTAATAATACTTTGAATTTTATGGTGCTATTAATTTCTACAAAAAAGCTTTCACAAGATCTTACTTTAGCATCACATCAACCATCTGAGGGAGATGCTACTGTCCTCACAGCAGAAATGAGGAAATTGAGAGGGACCCTGTCACCCTGTATCACAAAGTGAATTCATGATCCAGACAAGACCAGGTGTATTTGAGGGAGACAACAGAAGAGAACACTGCTTTCATAGATATTTATTGGCATTTATATCCCAACTTTTCTACTTATAAGCCATGTGAACTTGGGAAAACTATTAAACTATTCTATATCTTAAAAAACATAATGTTTATCTCATATGGCTGCTATGAAAATTAAAAAGAAATAATGTAGGTTATGAATCTAATACAATGTGGCATAGGTGTTTGGTAAGTTACTCTTGATTACTATTTCTGACTCTGAGCCCAGTATTATTCTTCCATCCACTGTCTTGCAGCAGCAGGACATTAATACCCATTCTCAGCTACCAAAAACATTTCCAATGCCAACCAGAAAATATTAGTACTCTGAAGGTCATATCAATTTAAAAGAAAAAATCACAAGTATCATATGGCAAAACATTGTTATCTTGAGAAAATTAAAATAAATTGGATACATGACAGTGATTACTACCATCAGAGTCTGGTATTATCTTTCATTTCAGCCAAAAAATTTTGTAATTATATCATAAAATATGGATTAGTAACTACAAAAACATACTACACTATGAAAAAATATTTCCTATGAAGGGTATTCTTTCCTCATGCAGCCTCATCTACTTAAAGAGTCTTTCTTGCTGTTTCTCCTTCTTCTTTGAAAAAATACATGTTTAAATGTTCTTACCCGTGATACTGTTAAAGAACTAACAGGCAACTTTCTCTCATATGTTTTGTTCATTAAATATGCAAGATCAGCTGTGGAAGAAAAAGAGCTTTGTTAAATAAATATATACATTTCTTTTTTTTTTTTTTAATATATACATTTCTTAAGAAAAACCTGACAGATATGACTCCTGCCAGATGGCTGCCAACACTACAAGTCAGTATTAAAACAGATGCTCAATCTTGCTCTTTTTTTAGAAATAGTTTTTACATAAATTAAAGAGACCAGTGAGTATCAGTAACATTTAAAAAATGATTAAAGGATTATAAAAAATGTTCTCAGTATATAATTTTTAAAAAATGGATCAATAAAATATTTCTGGAAAGAGATATAAAGCGTTATTTTTGACAGACTCCAGAAAAAGAAATTAGATGTGAGGCTGGAGAAGGAGATTCTACATTGCTTATCCATTTTATTCCCTTTGCATTTTGAGGCAGGTAAATTTATCAGCTATTCCGATATTTAAAAACTGAAATTTACTGAGTGACTTTTATATATTTCCTGAACAAATCAGAGAGGCTCCCTGACTAAACTTAGTGATTTTTGGCCCAAACTATTCCTATTTTGTTTATTTCTAATAGAATATCCTTAGGGACACTTGGTATTTCTGAGATTATACATTTATCTCAGAGTCTAAAAAGATCTGAAATCCTGATGGCATACTTTCCAAAATATTTATTTCATGTTATGTCACTGCTTCTCAAGTTTATAATAACCTCTTTCCCTTTTCCTCCTCACTCATACTCTCAGCTCATGATTTTATCTAATTTCACTGAAAAAAAAAAGAAGCAATCAAAAGAGAACTTCATCCTTCTCGCATCAAATCTTCTAAGCTAGTAGCATTGTACTCATTACTCAGCCTTCTGTTGTTACAAAAGATGAAAAGGATTTAAAAACAGCAGCAAAACATCTTCCCGTGTCCTCAGTATCTCCCATAGCTACTTCTTTGCTCTTCTTAGAGAGATTCTGCCTCCAAAGAGTCAGCTTTAATATAACTTGCACGACTTCCTTAGTTTTCACTCTTCAACTCAAGTCTAATCAGATCTGGGTTTCCACCATTCCACCACCCCCAGTGACCACCTCCACACTGTTAGATCCAGTGGTTAAGGCTCCATTCTCATCTTGCTTGACCTCTCTGTGTATCTCTATATTGTAGCTGATCTTTCTATTCTTTTTTTTTGGTACCGGGGATCAAACTTGGGTCCTTGCATTTGCACAGCAGGCGGCGAAATCACTGAGCTAAATCCCTGGCCCCTTTTTTTTCTTGAGATCATTCTATTCTTTAAGAAGTATTTATTCTCTTTGTTTCTTCCTCTTGGGTTCCTTCGTAGGATCTCCTCTTGACTTCACCTGCCCTCTCGTCCCCGGGTCTCCTTTCTCATCCTCCTCCTCCTCTGCTTCTCTTTCTCCTTCTTTTTTCAGACAGGGTCTCATAACGTAGTCCAGGCTGGCCTTGAGTTCTCTGTGTAGCCCAGGCTGGCCTCCAACTTGTGATTCTCTTCCCTCAGCTTTCTAAACGTTGGAATTACAGGTGTGTACCACTGCCTGCTTCCTCTTCTTGTCTTGAGAATGTTGGAATGCCCCAAGCCTCAGTAGTAGAGTAGACCCTTCCCTTGAGCATCTGTGCTCAGTTCCTAGGTGATCTCATTCTCCCCATGGCTTTAATCATTGTCTACAGACTGCTTGCTCCATGCACACACACCCACCCTCACTTCTGCCTTAATTCCACACTTGCATTTCCAACTGCATAGGTGATTTCCCCATCTGCATGTCTAATACGCCTCTAAACATTATCAGTCTTCTTAATTTTTCAACTTTCTATTCTACATCTACTTTCCCTATCCCACATAAAGGGGATGGGAAAACACCTGCTGGCTTACTCAGACCAAAAAAGTAGGTGTCATTCTTAATCCCATTCTTTTTTTTTGTACCGGGGTTCGAATTTAGGACCTTGCACTTTCGACGCAGAAGCAGTGCCACTGAGCTAAATTCCCAGCCCCTTAATCCCCTTCTTTTTCACACCTTATAACCAATTTGTCAGCAAGTCCTACAGGCTCCATATTTGGCATATATTATACCAAACATATATACGTTATATATATTATAAAGTATATTATATATAAATATATATATTTTTCACCAGCACTGCTAAGTCTCTGTCTTCCTGACCTTACTTTAATAACTCTTCACCATTATCATCCAAATCTCCACCCAGCAGGCTAGGGTTTTGGACCAATAAGATCATGTCATTCTCTTTTCTGAACTACCCAATGTCCTATTATAGTTAGAATAAAACCTCAAATATTTTTAGGAACTACAAATGCCTACATAAACTGGCTGTGGCTTTGTTTTTCTGTCTCTTACACTGAACTAACTGTAAAATCCATGAAGGCATGAACTAAATTCAATGATCTATTCTCAGTCTTTGAAACCATTCAATGAAAGACACTGAATATCTAAAGAAATCAATAAAAGGAATGAAAAGGGGATGGAAAAAGAAGTGACTGGATTTCCAAGGCTTTTGTACACCCTGGTGGGTGACATTAGTATCAAGGAATAAACAACTAGGTGATAAGCAATAAGTAAGTATTTGATGGCCTCTTGCTGTGCATTTAAGGGTTCCCCTCTCCTCTTCCCGGATTAATGATCAAAATGAATAGTGACTGGGGGAAAATAACTGTAAAAACTCTTAAAACCTGATACCTTGTAGGATGCAAAAATAAATAGCTTTCCAGTTGGGTGTAGTAGTGTGTGTCTACAATCCCAGTACTAAGGAGGCTGAGGCTGGAGGATTGCTGTAAGTTCAAGGCCAGCCTGGACCACCTAGTGAAGTCAAGACCAGCTTGGACTACATAGCAAGAGCCTGTCTCAAAAAAACCCAAATAAACAAACAAACAGATTTCCTTACAACCATCTTAAAGGGATTATGACATTTATTTAAGGAACATATAAAAACAACAAATAAATCCTCAAAAACCCTCTACACTAAAGGAAATTAATATTGTTGAATCTGTTTACTGGTAGAATAGATGTCAAACAACTCTCTCAGGATGCCAAGGCTTTATCATCTCTTCTTAGTAGCGGTTCTTATGATGACAGGGAGTAGTATTGCCTTCCTTTAACTCAAAATAAATACTGTTAATAAGCAGGTTCAGGAACTACTGACCTCATTAAAGTAGTCCCTATGCCCAGTTTCCATCAGGATTCCACACAGTACACAATATCTAACCAAACTCTGGACTGTGGGACTGTATGATTCCAAATTCAATTACTCCCCTAGCCTCTATTGTATTTAAAAATTAATGGTTAAAATGTGCTTGTTAGTTCTGGGATAATAGATAAAATCTGTAGCAAAACAAAGTTCCTAAGTAAATTACTCAACCCCTTGTTTGTCCGGAGAACGAATGTTCCCGGGCCCACTGTCGGTAGAGCAATCCACCAATGTGTCTGCCGACCATCAGTACGTGACCGTTGTGACCATATGGTCGTGACCATTACTGTGTGTGTCTGCTGACCAATAGTACGTGACAGTCGACCACTAACCTTTGTTCCTTTTTTTTCGTACATCTACATGTTAAACTCCCCCTCAATCCCCTATAAAACAGCCTCGGACTCTGAGCCAGTGGCCTCTCTAAGCTATTTTGCTTTGGGAGTGCCGTCTGGCCAGACTAATAAAGGTCTGTTTTATTTTCCAACTTGTCCGGTGTGTTCCTTCCCGGGTGTTCGTCGCTGCAGTCAGCTCCTCAGAGCGTTTGGTAAGGCCCTCGGTCTTACAGGACAGAGATGGCTTTGCCAGTCACTTCTTAAGAGTGGTCACCAAACACTCATTTGAAGTCCTTCATGGAGGCCTCTTCAGTTAAGTGAACTCAGCCAGGCTTAAAACAGGCAACAGCTGCACAGCCTGCATCTGATGAATATCATTTACATACTGCAAGTCAGAGGAAGGTTTGTTGCTAAATACCCCATTCCACCAATCACTCTCATCATAGTACTGGCATGATGGATGAGGCAAAAAATGGCATGTAGCCAGGAGGGCCAGGGACGCTGGGACAGCTGTGGCCTATACAGGGCCAGCACCACAGGCTTCTGGACGGTGGGCTCCAGAGTCAAAGTCACACTTGATGTTTCAGGAGGGCCAGCAGGTGCCTAGGTTCTGCTCAAAGGGATGTGCCAAAGAGGGTGTTTGCTGGTTACTCAGCTCCTTGGGAACACATGCTGCAGCAGATGGGGAAACCACCAGAGCTACATGGATAATGGACCTGCCATTTAAATGCTTCTTTCAACAAAACCTTTAACACTGCAGAGATACCATGGAAATGCAAGTTTATTGAGGACTTGCACCAAGAGAGCACTGGAGTGCAGTGCCACACGAACCTGGTGGAGGATCTGAATGGCTTGAAGGGTTTTAACATGTGGGACTCCTAGGCTTCCCACCCGGAGGGAGGTTGTGACTGGACTCCGTAGGACTGAGGTAAGTTCCAGGAGACTGTGGCACTGTGGCCCATCAAGCACTCACCATTATGTTTACCATGGAGGCAAAGAACACTAATGGGTTTTGGATGATGCTCCTAAGCTCAAAAAAGACAGCAGACAGGAATCTACTTGTGGAATAAGATGAACCACGTATTTAAAAAAAAATTTTCCTTTCACCATAAAAATAAAATACCTAAATTTTTTTAATGTTTCAAATATGTGACTGAGCTTTCAAGATGGTAGATGTAATTTTCAGAGACCAAGGCAACAGGGGAGCAGAACCTATGGGAGTTAAGGGAGTAACAACAATTCAGTCCCTGAGGGCACCTCAGGTCCCAAAGACACAGAGCTTAGGTTTTAATGACTTACAGGTGACAAGGGATAAAATCAAGGCTTTCGTAAAATGAGGGAGAGCCAGGGAGGCAGAAGGACTGCAGTGAGTTTGAGGCTAGCCTGACCTATGTAGTGAGACCTTGTCTCAACAACAACAAACAAAAAAGAATTTTATTTAAAGAGCTAATTTTACTAAGTAATCTTCTAAAAATGGCAACTACTCAAC